GTCTCTCTCCTGTGTGGATTGCCTGATGTTTAACAAGGTCTGACCTCTGTATGAAACTTTTTCCACAGTCTAAGCATTTATGGGGTCTCTCTCGTATTTGGCTTATCTGGTGTGTAATTAGTGCTGACTTCCAATTCAAACATTTCCTGCACTCAAGGGACTGATAGGGTTTCTCTCCCGAGTGGCCTCTCCCATGGTTATTGAGGTCTGAGCGGTTATTGAAGCTTTCTCCACAGTCCAAGCATTGAAGGGGTTTCTGACCAGTATGGAGTGTCTGATGTGTCACAAGGTGTGATCTCAAAATGAATCCTTTCCCACATTCGAGGCATGGATAGGGTTTTTCTTCCTTGGGATTTGTCTGCTGGGCTGTGGGATCCTTGTCTCCTGCCCAACATTGAATGGATTCATCCACTTTCTTCTTTGGGTGTTTTCCCAGCAGCCTCTCTGACCTGTGCCTATTTCCCCAGGCGTCTCCCTCTTCCAAGCACTGGAAAAAATTCCCTTCAGCTCTTCGCACAAAGGTCCCCTGTGGTTCCATTTCCCCAGGAACATGCTCATGATGATTCCCCTCCTCCTTCTCACTCACTCTGTCATCATCTGCTGGGAGAGAGACAATCCAGACAGGAGTCATTGTGCTGGGGAGAAAGAGGAATAGCACAGAGCGAAAACCCAACATGCTAATACTGTGAAGACTGAGTAATTGGATTCTGCCTCCACTTCCCACCCAAACACTCAGAGGGATGGAAAGATGGGAAGGAAACTCCTGCAGCTAACAGGACGGGTGGAAAGCTGTGAGTGATATCTACTGACTACAGCTCTGTTCTGCTGACTACAGCTCTGTTCGGTGAGATGAGGAAGAACTGAGGGCTTTTACTCATACCACAATTTGGGGATTCTCAACTTTTTCCTTCATTAGCCAGATGGTTTCAATGTCAGTCCTCACCTGTGCGGGTGCCTCTCGAGATCTCTCTTTCCTCCGAGGCCTGGAGATTGGGCACCCAAGGCTCTTCCCCTCGTTCCAGTCGGGCGATCAGCTCAGGTTTGGGAATGGGAAATCCTGCGCAGGAGTGAAATCAGACCAGATGAGGGTAAATGGAGTATCAAGAAAGTGTCTTTCATAAAGGGCATTCCATGTCCCGGTGCTGTGCTGGGAGAATCTGGAATCCAAGAGGACGGGAACATGGTCACTGAGCCCCCTTGAAGTAGGGAGACGTCTGGGGAGGTGGGGAGAATTGTTACGCCCTCACTAGCAGTTTCCAGGATCTGTGCACTTTGAGGGCTTTGCTGATGCACACACAGCTCTAGAGTTAAACCCCTGCCTATTTCTAAACCTGCAGAGCCCTCCCTATGGCTGGAGTAATTCCCAAGGAGGCAGGTGAAAAGGGATTCTCTGTGCGAATGAGAAACAATATAGACAATACATGGCTTCTCCCCCTTGAAAGCTGGAGGGGTGGGGATGGTTTAGCACGTCCATTAGGTTTGACACCCGTATCCCATTGGTGAGGGTATGGAGATGCACGTCTCTCTCACACGGCAGCTGTGGATTATAGAACCCATTCCCCTTCAATCTAACTGACCAGGGGAAGAACCTGACCAGATGCAGCAATGCAGGCCCTACACTTTCTAATAACGGAGGGGATGGGAATCCCTTACCCAGCGAGGTCACCGTCTCGTAGTTCTCCTGCATGACGTCCCTGTAGAGGGCTCTCTGAGCGGGGTCCAGCAGAGCCCCCTGCCCCTGGGTGAAATACACAGCCACATCCTCGAAGGTCACCGGCATCTGAAACAACAAGAGTCCCCCGCTTAGCACCTGCTGCCCCAGCCACAATCCCACTAGTCACGGGAAAGGAAGAAAGAAAAAATAAAAGCATCTCGGAAGCTCTGGGAGGACCAGAGTAGCAGAATTCCTCTCTCACCCTGCTCAGAGCACCAGGAGTCTTCATGGGGTGTGGAGAAGGTGAGAGCTCCTTGGCCCCCCAGCAGACGGAGCAGGGCAGGGTCTTCTCATTTCCCACATGCCTGCCAGCCACAGGCTGATATGGGAAGCAGAGCCCTGAGCCGGGGACAGGGACAGAAATCTCAACAACTTCCCTTCGTATTTCACAGCAGCCCCTGGCTAGTGGGTTCAGGCTCCAGCACTGGGAGTCTGGAAAATGTTCCCAGGCCTGTCCAAGGGAGTTGTGTCCTATTTGAGAAATGGGGGAGTCTCCCCCCACACTGTCAATGGACCTGCTCAGAAAATCAGCAGGTTTATCACACCCTGTCTCCTCCCTGCTTCATCCTGTGTCTTTCCTGCCCCTACCGCTCTACAACACCCCCCCTACAGCTCCCTGCAAATCCCCTTCCTGAGCTGGCTCCATCACAGACATTTCCCTTCCCTGTCCTCTGGAAGATGGGACGAGCTGGAGCGAAATCTGGACGTGATTCCTCAGCCTGTCAGGGTGAGAGGGGCGATTGGGGAGGTTACAGCGGGGGCTTGAGTCCATGTCACACCCCGATTCCCCCCTAGCTCTCTCCCTGCAGACAGACGCTCTGGACTCTGCCATGCTGCCAGGTCAGGCCCCTCCCAGCAGAACTAAACCCACCGGGGACACTTTTAAATCCTCCCAGTAACAACATCTCTGCGCCAAATGGTAGAAAAAGAGCAGAACCAAAAGAGGCACTTTGGGGGGCTCCCCATGATATTATCGTGTAACCTCCTCTAGCTCTCCCCCTTCTCCCCAGGTAGTGCGGGGTTCAGCAGAGTCAGCAACTGGCTTTTCTTTTCTCAGCTCCTCCCCTTGTTCCCAGGAGAGCTGACTGCGGGGGGGGGGGGGTTTGCAGGGAATGGGTCTGGGCAGGGCTGGGAGCTGGGAACCTCCCTCCCCACTTCTTGCTCCTGCTGCCCTTCAAGTCTCTCCACTCTCCCTTTTTATCTTCTTCCCCCACTCTGGGAGAACAGGCGACTGCCCCATTGTCGTGGGCCTTTGCTCTCATTGGGCAGCTCAGCCACTGACACTGCTAACAGGGGTTTGAACCTGGCTGTGTCCATGGGGGCAGCAGCTCTGGGACTCGCAGACACACAGGGAACCCCCTCCCCATGTAGGCAAAACTCACCAGCCAGTCCCTGAAAGGGGCCCTTTGTGCAGAGTCACTTTCCTGCCCGGCCCCAGCCCTTTCCCCCGGGTCTCTCCATCACCTGCAGGCTCCAGCTGAGGAGCTGGTGTCGGAAGAGCCAGGGGCTGCCCCTGGGACTGGTCCCAGCCACCGGAGAAAGTTCCCTCCTAGGCTAGGCACAGAGGGGTTTAACAGAGGTCTCTCCTCTGCTGGGTAAGAAGCAGCATCTCAATCTGGAGTCCCCAGTCAAAATGGAGGAGGCAGCTTCTGACGCAGGGAGCTCAACTCCAGAGCTCTAATAACATGAGCAGGGAGAGAGACACATGCCAGCCTCCTCCTCTCCCTTAGCAATAACCAGAGCCCTTTGGTGGTAGCAGATAAGGATGAGTCTCTCTGTCCTGCCTCTGCAGCCACCAGGGACAAGGAGGCAGAGGCTGATCTCATTGGCCCATCTGCACTCAACCCCTGCCACAACCAGCAGTTACTCCGGTCTGACAAGGGATCTGGCTGAGATCTGAATCCTGCCCAGAAATCAAACCAGGACCTCAAGCAGCCCCAAACACTCAGGAGATAGACCCAAAATCAGGAGTGTCTCTTTTTTATTTTTAAATCAAATAATAAATTGGAAGCAGGATGTGTGGGGAGGGTAGGAGGTTGCCTGTGGATATTTGCCTTGTAGCATCTGAGCTCTGAGGGGATAGTCTCCTCACCTCACAAGCCTGTTTGACCAGTTCCAGGGAAAAAATTCCCCACTGGCTGCTGGGTGGGGAAGCCCTTCACTCTCTCCTACCCCATGGGGCGGGGCAGCTGCCTTGTGTCTCTCCCTTCTTCATCTGCTCTTGCTCTCACATTCTCCCTCCAGCCTCCCCTCCCCACATCCCCTTTCCCTCGCAGTGATCCCCCGCAACTCTTCCCTTTATTCCAGCCTCGTACCCCTCAGCCCCATAATTCTCCTCCTACAGCCTGACTCTCCTGCATCGCCCCATCCTCCCTGTCCCCCATCCTGCCCCCTGCATTCCCATCATCCCTCTCCTGTCACCTAACGTATCCCTCTTCCCCCCTCCTGCAGCCCGGGTGGAAAACAGGAGGCACGGCTCCCGGGGGGGGTGGGGGTGAAGGTCTCTCTTACCTTCCCTCCAAGCAGTGCCCTCCCTGGGAGCAGGTGCTGAGGCCTGGGAAGGGGGCCCTGGCCAGGCTGGGGTCACTGCACTGGGAGAGGCTCCTGAGTAGCAGCGGGAAAGTTCCTGCCTTACAATATAAACCTCTCCTGTCAGCAGCCAGGAATGGGGATTCCGCACAGCAGTGACCAGTTACTGCAGTAACTGCGATTCACTTCCTGCTGCTGGGAATGAGGGACCCCACTGATTACTCCCACATCACTCCAGCTCCTTTTGGGCTCTAGCCATAAACCCATTAAACTGAAACCTCCCTGCCCCAGACCCTGCCCCTCAGAGCCTCCACATGCCCTGACCACAGCACTATGGGGGCATCATCCATAAAAGCCACCAAGTCAATGGGACAACAGAAAGGAGACATTCTGATCCCAGGGAGGGGGGAGAAGGGGCGTGTCTATGGAGACCCACAATTGTTCCAGAGAGTCCCCAATATCAACCGGGATTCGGGGTGAAGGGGTCCTGGTCCTAAAGAGGCTGCCCAGAACATCAGGGGACTCATTTCACAGTGCCACTGACTATGTGTGCGATTCGCTTTGTTAAGAGATTAGATCAGGCAGCAGTTTGTCAGAGATGGTCTCTGGTCTCCACACGAGGCTCGCTGGCTACTAGCTACTCCTGGGGGAGTTCTGCACTATTGCATGCGTGCATAATTAATGAGTCGTGCATATTTTTATTTTTTTGCGAAGAAAAAGCTTCTGCCAAAATGTTGCGGCAGTTCCAAATTTTTGCCCATCAGAGGGCGCTGTGACACAAGAACAGCAGGAGTTCCCAGCAGAAAATATCTTATGCAGTCCCACCTTTTTCCACCAGAGGGTGCTGTGGCAATAGAACACAGCAGCAGCTCCCAGCCAGCTAGGGAAGAGAAAGAGCATGCCTTCTTCACAGCGCCTGTCAGGCCAGGTCAGGAGACAGGGGCTATGGGGAAACAGACAGCATGGAGTGCTGAGGGGGGGGGTGTCAGACAGGGGCTCATAAGGACTAGTGGGAGAGGACAGACTGTGGCAGGGGCTGAATGGGATTGGAGGCACAGGGCCTCAGAGGGGAGGAAGGTGCAGGGCCACATGGTGATGGGGGAGGGGGTGCAGTGCTACACAGGGACAGAGGGTGGCTGAGTGTGGGCACAGAGACACATAGGGACAGGGGGTGGCTGAGTGGGGGCACAGAGCCATATGGGGATGGGGGAGGTGGTGTAGGGGCACATGGGGATGGGAGGAGTGGGTGTCTGAGGGGGTGGAGGAACACATGTGGACAGGGGGTGCAAGGACACATGGGGGTGCAGGAAAACATGGGGACGGGGCAGATGTGTGACTGAATGGGAGAGGCTAGGGGTCAGCCAGGGTCTGCATGGGGGAAGCTCCCTGACAATCCCTCCCCGCCTCCCAAAAAAATCTGTTCCATGCTTTACCCACCCATACCCCCAAACTCTCCAAAGCTCCTTCCCAGCAATTTACTTCCCTCTCCTTCAGCTCCTCCATTACCCCTGACTCCCCCAAGCCTTTGCATTGCTTCTGAGGGGTGCGGGAAATACGGTTCTGTATTGTAGTTTAAATGAATTATTACTCAGAGTTCTGTATTAATATGCCTAGTAAGGAATCCATTTGTCAAAAAACATTTCCTGAATCTTTTTGTTCTCTGTATTGTTACAGACATACTTGCAGACTGGTATTTTGAAATAAATTCCCAAAATAATTCAAACTGGCAGGATTATTATGTTATTGTGATGAATAAAATATGCAGAATTTTGCAGAATTTTAAAATATTATGCACAGAATTTTTAATTTTTTGTTGCAGAATTTTTAATTTTTTTGGAGCAAAATTCCCCCAGGAGTAACTAGCCCTGGACCTAATCTACAAGGCCTGCTCCCCTAACTCGGGCAACAAAGTTGTCACTTGTCAGTGCTTTGCAGCCAAGTTCCCTCTGGTGATTTGCAGGGCCAAATTAACCCGTCACTGGGCTCTAGACAAAACCCCCTTATGTCTGCCCCAGCCAGGGTGCCACTCATGGAACTGTCCCTCCTAGGCCACTGTGGGTATTTGTAGGGCTGCATAACCCATCACTGGGCTGTAGGCAAAACCTCTCACATCCACCCCACCTCCGGGACTCCCCGCTGGCGTTACAGCACAAACGGCAGCCAGCACAATTTTCTAGTGGTAGCCGTTACCAATTTCTAGGTCCAGATGTTCCAGAGAAGTTAGCAGGGCGCATGCTCGGAGACAGAAACTAAGGTTCCCCAGGTAACTTTTACCCTGAAAATATAGCTACTGCTGAGTGAACCTTGGCACCTATGGGGTTCGTCAAGAGTTTTGTATGGCTCTGTGGAGCCTAAACTGGGATGTAGGCACCTAATCCCAGATTTATGTGCCTAGCCTGGGGTTTGGGTGCCTGTGTGCCATTGTGAATCCAGCCCAC